ATTCACATCTTACACTTCTACTCCATCCTATTCTATCGATCGATTTGTCTCTACTCTCCGAAATCGCGCGCTTTAACCCGATTCTTTCATTGCGTCGCCTGATACGTAGCCGGCCAAGGCCACTTCTTTCCATGCCTCGCCTTTGGCTCCGCCCCTTTACCTTCGATTGTCCATAGTGTAGTTTTTGTTTGTTTCTCTTCGGAAACCGAATCTTCATGCGTGAAACTTTGTGTGCTGTTTCCAGTGATCACAACTGACACATTCATGTTAAGAAAGAATTTTCGCGAAGTATAATTAGGACTATATTATCAAATACCCTACAATATTTCCACAACTCCAATTCCATGCTTTCCTCGTGACCCCAGCAGGTTAGAGTTGCCACTGGGGCACGTATAGGAGTGGGCGTGAACTTCACCACGTGTGCGCATGGGGTGGGCGGAGCCGACTCGAGTGGGCGGGGCGTATAATAAAACCTTAAACCGATGATAAATTCACGTTGGAATTCCTTCTGAGAAGCATGTTCCTCTACAGTCGGTATCGCGCAAAGCTGAAACTAGCGTGTTTCGAACAAACAAAAACCATTTACACCAGTGCCTCAGGACAACATGCACGCATCCCAAGCCACAATTTCTACTTGGAATGGCCCAATGACAACTTTTGCACTTAGAACTATCAACGCGGCTCTGTCACCAAAACATGCATCAACAGCAGATTCGCATGCCTGCACGTATCAATATCGATATCCACCTTGTGAGATACATAGTTCGAAAGGAACACTTATTGGGTGTGGTTTGTTTTACCCGATTGAGCGCGAACGGTCTCAATCGACTGAGCAGGTAAGGAAAGAATGCTTGGTCCGCCTGGACGATATCTGTACGCGATTTGACGTGGAAAGTTGTACCCCCTACTCCTACACCATCTCAATCTCACAAGTGATGAGTAAAGGAGTGAAAAGCTCCCGAGCTATGATTCAAGATGGATCCGACCATACCACAATCTTCTCGCCTAGACTAACGTCATGGTAAGCCATGAATACGAAACAAGAGCTAGGGAAGCGAATGGCTTTGAACAAAAGACTAGCGAGGGATAGGCAAGTGTTGGAGTGATTATGAGTCCTGAAGGGCTTGTCCCATGTCCCACTCTGTACCCCTTGCTCTTGAACCGTACCCCGAAAGAAAGCCATATTAATTTTGGGAGATACCCTTCACGGTCCACTATCCATTTCACCAACTCCGTTTACTGGAAAGTGAACACAGAGGAGCTCGAAATCGGCCGTTACAGGAAAATATAATATATGAAGTAGTTTCTACCAAAACAAACAGTATCGCTTTTCGCCGCCGACTGAAAAACTCTCTGAAACACCCAGAAATTTCCAAATTACAGTACCTGTCCAAATGGAGCACACTGAATCCAGAACGCGAACATGCCGCTGCGATTATCGATTCCGTCAATCCAGTGCCGAGCACAATTACGTCCACACTATCCGGAAGCGATTCACTCATGATCCTGCATGGAACAAAGATCGAATTTCAATAAGTACACGTGGTATAAAGCATGTGTAAATATGAGCGAGTATCAAAACTCTGAAATAAAACAGTAACGCGGAGCAGTGTATAATTCTTTATTATTTCAGTAGTCAATGACGAGTAGATTAAGCTTGGCACTACATGACATTCACAAAAATCAATATTTCAATAATGGTGCAAGTCCTAAACGTAGAACTTAGTTTATGGACTCATATGGTTCACGCACCAATGACACCCGTGAGAGGTGTACCAGATTGGGATGAAGAGGAATTAGGCCACGGATATTACAGTGTATTTCGGACCAGGGACAAATCAATGGCGAAAATCAAAAAAAGAAATCAATAGAAGAGCAATCGCTCCCAAACAATAGAATGTTCAATCATTCACAACAGCACTTCAAAAACTATGCAAAGGAATGAATTTGGTCCCTCAATATCAAAATATTGCGAGCTAATATTCACGCTCTTCTGAACAGTTTCTAAAGCGTTACCCTCCATTAAAATGACATTCCCAAAGAATCAACTAAAGCTTGAGAAGCCAAAAAGACAAATCACTAACACAGCTCTTCGAAACTAGTTAGACACTCAACTGAGCGGTTACCAGTAAGACTTGTTCACGGTCTGAGCAGTACGTTACTTTGCTTGTACCACCGATTCGGTTGAATACGTTCGTAGTAAAGCATGTATGCTTGAGCGGAAGCCACTTGGGAATACGGCACGCGTTTGACCTAGAAACACATGGTAGTAAGCTGCGGAACAATACATACAACTATACATCATTACATGTGATGTATATAATTGAACTGGTATAACTTCGTATAATGTATGCTATACGAAGCAAAGAGACTACAAAAAAAAAAAGGACCAAAGAATACAGCAGAAGAAGAGTGGGATTAACAAATGCCGCCGCGCGCGGACGCGTCACAATACTCGAATTGCACTACAGAACTATTTCTAATGGCCGATGTCAGACTTTGCGAATCGCGCGATTCGCTAGCGTCTGCGGTCGCGTCGCGGCCAGTGAATCACTCAATTGGCTGGTACCGCAACGCGACCGCGGACGCTAGCGAATCGCTAGTAGCGAATCGCGCGATTCGCAAAGTCTGACATCGGCCTATGACTTGCTTAACCCATTCGGGACAATGGCAGCGACCGGTGGCTGCTGGAAGATGCTCACTCGGGACCAGGGTCAACCCTATGTTGCTACAAGTAGCAACGGGGGGTCGTATTTTGATGAGTTTGTAGAGGGGGGTCGTACTTGCTTCGGTTGTAAGAAGTTGGCATGTGATGAGTGGGGAGCGGCGCGGGAGAAACCCCCCCCCCGCTCGACGGTAATTTTTTGGGGTAAAAATTGTTTTGAAAGAGGGGGTCGTATGAAACATTTCATGAGGGAGGGGGGTCGTAAAAACTTTTTGAAAAGTAGCAACGATAGGACCGACCCTGCTCGGGACCATGGCATCCACTGGTGGCTGCCGGGCTTCAAATGGAATTTTTGAAAACAAAAGGAGGTCTTTGGGAGATTTTCTTTGCTGTGAAGAATCTTCATACCCTCATCTATCTAGGCCACCCCTGGGCAGAGGAAATCTCTATCCACTAGAATTTTATTGAAGAAAAAATATCCTGACTTCAAAATTTCACCGAAAAAGTTGAAATTTTTCCGCTGAAACTTTTCCCATGGGGGTTATCGAGGGTCCTGATCACGAAATATGATATCCATTTTTGGCGCTGGCGCTGGCGCCATTTGGCGCCAGATGGCGCCAAGACTGAATTCACCAAATTCGCTGTAAACTTGTATATAGGGGTTATTTGAGGCCCTGATTACGAATATGATATTATTAGTAAACGATAATCAGGACTAACAAGGGAGGTCGTTCAGGATGTGGAAAGCTTTTTCGAAACGGTTTTCTGTATGTTATGGGAGCTCATGCGTAGACTACGAAACCGAGGTCCATTTTCGCTGAGCGGCCCCGCGAAGGCCAAAAAAGGTGAGGAAATGGTCCAAGGTTCAATCCCTCATAATGACAAAATTTTTGCATTTAGGTTGGAGCTTCCCAATTTGCTCCAAAAGCGCCAAGAATAGATATATGTTCATTATAAAGACCATCAGTAACTATTGCTTTCAGATTTTTACCGTTATCTGGCGGATAAGTTGTCATCCCATAAGGGCGTCAAATGGCGCCGAAGAAGCGTAATACACAAGTTTACAGCGAATTTGATGAGATTCAGTCGGGGCGCCAATTTGGCACCAGCGCCAAAAATGCAACTCATACTCGTAACCAGTACCCTCGATGACCCCCATGGACGAAGTTTCAGGAAAGCAGCAGAAGTTATATAGAAATAACCAAAAAAAGATGGACGTCCCCAGGGACAGTGGCAGCAGTTGGTGGCTGCTATTGCGCCATCGCCTCGGCCGCCGTTGGTCCGAAATCCCGCGCGGTGCAAGTGGGAACACCGTACTACTGCAAGTATATGGACCTTTTACCGATAAAGATTACCACCAAAACCGGATATAAATAAGGACAATACGGGTATCTGCCCCCACACCACCCACCAAATTAAACAAGACCGCCCTCATTCCTGGTATGCCATTGATCAGCCTTCACAATTGTGACAACACACAGAGGGGAAAGGTCTGGCGAGCAAATTTGTTCCACAACAGTGCTTCCAGAGATAATGTCGAGGAGAATTCCCGCAAAAGGCTACCATTCTCACCTTGGCATCATTAGTAAGGTGCCACGTATGGGGATCGTGGATTCCTCGTCGATACGTCACAAAATGTCCACTTTGCGGTACACCACGATGTTCGCTCACTGCACGCAGCTGTTATTTATAGCGAGCCGACTTCACAGACGTTCCGACCACAATGAACCGCCCTGGAAACACAACTTTTAAAATGTCGTTGCCAAGGCGATCAACTATATTGATCAAGTGCTGGGATCGAAGTTTTGTACCGACTTTTTGTGAAACAAGTGTCAGATCGGGGAGAATCTGGTTAGCGAAAGCGAGAGACACTCGCGCGCAAACATGCGCACGTATCCGTTAAAGCAGGTCGATTCTTTCAAAGAGCGAAGAAGGAGTGACAGAGTAGTACGCCCCGGCCTGAAGATGTTAAGCTGGATCCGTAACAGAAATGTAGTTAAAGTAGTGTGAAATGTAAGTATGACGGGCTCCGGATGTGGGGACACGAATTTATAAGTGTTCTCACATCATCATTTGTGTTTACGCAACTGTCATGCACAGGTTACTCTAACGACATTTACGGAGGGTCGTCCCATAGCTTTGCCGTATCCGGGATTTTTCTCTCACTCTCATACGTAGCAATTTTTCCAATGAACTCACTCGATTATTCCAAAAGGAGACGCGAGTCCACTCGACGATGGCCGTCTAGCCAAGGGATGTTCGTTTCCAGCTGCTCCGCCCACTATTCGTGAAGTTGACTCGGGTCGGCGGGACGCTGCCAGGTTGTAGTCAGTCTGGAACATGTTACGCTGAAATGCCAGCTCAAAGTGTATCAACGTTGAATGATTCAATAGCACTTCTGTTCGAGAAGTAAATCTGACGCAGGAAACTCTCTAATCGCATGTCCAGACAGCAAAGACTGGAGCAGAGATGGGATCCTCATCATAACTTCTATATTATCACAACTAACATATGGGTTACAAGGCTTCTGTCAACCAAAGGGTGAGAGCGTAGCTGGAAAAGCACACACTTTGTGTCTTATTGGGACTAAGCCTTTTGAAGAAGATAAAGAAAGAGGAGATGCTGTGATAGTGTGCACTTGTGAGAGCTCCCAGACATCACTACAAAACGCTGAACCGCCAAGGCTCACGGTTGACAGATGTCCTGAGACCCTACAATAAGATTGGGGTAGGTGCCAGCGAAAATGGCAGCAGAAAAATCCCTTTCGGTCGGCCTTTTTCAGGAAAACGCTTGCTTATCTTTTTGCCTCAGTAATGAGGTGTACAACACTTAACCCTTTGATGATCAACCGTTACGCTGCGTCCTATCAACTTTTTTTTTTCCAATATTCTCCACCTAGTCCTTAATTCTCCAACTTAGAGCACATTGTTTCGCGGATTCATATAGAAAAGTGTCATCAGTGTGAACACGTTGATCTGCTCAACAATTTCTTCGATTGGACAGAAATTATTTATTTTTTCTCTTGTTGCATAGTAACTCCCTTTCCCTTACTAGTTGAGGTCGGTCAAACTCCATTTGCACAAGCGGTATCCTATTGTCTATGATATAGCGCACCTATGCGTGCATCAACTAAATAAATAAATAAATAAATAAAATGAAAAATAACTCAAGAAACATGAGTCTTCTCCATAAGAAATGTGGCGCACGCGGCAGGACATCCCAAGGTCGGCAAAGTGATTATACTGACTGTTGTTTACAGATGCTTTTCCAATCGGTTGCTAATGAACATCATGAAAGATATCTTGAATATCAAACCACCTGCACGTATGCTTCGCTCTTTTCGCGCTTTTTACTTGATGAAATTGTCGAATGCAATTCTGCCTACAAGTGGCGTCAAGAACATTCAGTGATAGATTGCAAGAAACAAATAGATGTTGCTCTAGTTAATTCTATTCCCCCCCCGAAGCACAAAAGGAGAGACAATCTTCTTCGAGCACCTGACACGTTTACCTAGTCATTCTGCCCTAGATGAAATCGCATTCCACGTAAATCCAGGGCAAGGATTTTTACGAGAAATATCTAAGGTACAAGTGATGAGAACAAGTTCCACATTTCATTGTAATTGGGCTGCCTATTTACTGGGCGGCAGGAATCAACGAAACCCTCTAATATTCAATCAAACAACGCGCAGCACGAACTGAACCTGGAGGGCAAGGAGGGCAGAACATTATGTGAAGCGGTGTTAACCTACTTGAATCTCGGAAAATGTTCGCAGAGAAAATGTTGAGGATCGGAATAACAGAAAAGGGAAACCGAAAAAGAGGATTTAGTAGTTAATGTTACATATCCAGCATGGGATTGAAATAACAATGCCATGCATTCTCTGTGATTCAGGTTGATTTCCAGTCAAAAGCGTGTCATAAAAATCTGTTCGACTGGCAATATTGGAAATTTCATGACGCGTACGAGATCAGCGATTCCAATCTGTATCATAGAAGCATGACTGCCGTTCCCCAAGTCTATTCGGGGGAAGAAAAGGTGCGACACCCCACACGAGACGACAGCACGCGTCTCGTGCATATCGCTCCTCGCTTCTTACAAACGAAAAGCGGCCCATTTGAGATCAAGGTAGAGGTGGGCAGTGGTGCGGATATGAAGAAAAACCCATGACTAACGGCTCAGAATGCGAGCAACGGGACCCCTTCTTTGCCCAATGATTTCCTCGCATTGATGTGACTGTTTTCGGTGTTGCCCTCGTCAACGCTAACACTCTCTCTTTGCTAAGCGACCATGGCCAGACGGCGAGAAGGTGGGCGTGCAGCGGCGCGAGCGGCGCAAGTATGGCACAGGTAGGCCGTTTGGGGCATACTCTTCGTTGCGAAAAGCGCATAGTCTCGCTCCCTTAGGGGGTGCGCCTACCTTTCGACTAGGTATACTTCCTCTTCTTCGATCCCGACCTCATCGTGAAATCATCTTTGAGCGTGATATCCCGCACTGATAAGGACAAAGATCGAAGAGGAGAAATCACCGGCAAGTGGAGAGAAGGCGGACCTCCTAAGGGTGTGATTGAGCGAATCGCAGTCGCCAACTCGCAGAAAATGCCTGCCGTGATCTGAATGGCCTTCCTCAAGGCGGCAGTTGTGTTCGCGCTAGTCGATGGACACAAGGTTGACAAGAACGCCCATGACTGGCGTATGCGCCACTCGCCGGGTGCTGTAGGCAGTCTAAGCAGTGAGTGTTGCGTTGAAGAGGGCAGTGTGGAAATCTACAGGTGAATAAAGGGGTTCAGTATCTCGGGTTTAGACTCTTCTTCTTGGTTTTTTTTCTTCTTGCGCCTATCACTCCCCATCTCCGACTTAACACCCAATGGGCTGCCTCCTCATCGTAAATTAGCCTTTAAGGGCTACGGAGCGCAGCGCGCACATATAGCTGCAGTGGCAGTGAATCAGCTCGAAAACTATTCTTCTCTTGTGATACAAAACACCGTCCCGGCGATATGTGTAACACGTGTTAATATTCCCATCTCTCCTATACAAAAAATGTCATATTGTGCCTCTGTATTTCAGAGCGAGGACGTAGGGCATGAGGGCTTCAAGTATCAGAAAAGAGTAATGCAAAATATTCAGAACCGAAGAGGATTTGAAGAGAGAGATTGACCTGAACAAAGTTCATGATGAAGCGAATGATCAGTGTCGTTTTTTAAACTCCCAGGCAGCGCGGCTGTCTGAGCGATGACTGATCTGGCAAAGTTTGGATTGGCTTCAAAAAGGAATAGGGTTTACAAACAATGTAATTTATTCGGAACATTCAGTAAGAAATCATGAGCGATCGAAATCACAGCACTAATAAAATAGCAAATTTCATCACTACAAAGTTATACGATCAGAGCGGGTCTCATTCCAAAATCAAGTGTTACAGAACAACGTGGTGAGAGTAAGCTAATAATTGCGAGTATGGGAGTGATACATATAACAGCGCGTCGGGGACATACTTTCATAAGCAGTAGCCCTCTAGCGCCTTCATTTCGCAAGAGCGCTTCCAGTTTCATCCTTTATTGGAGTTTTCTCATGCACGTTGAACGACAACTATCCCTGAACTCAAAAACACCACTTTCAAATGTTACATCCAATATTAACAGATGAGATGCAAGGAAGCTGATCACCATAAGCTTCCACATACGTTAGGCCGATGTCAGAGTCAGCGACTGGTTGCGCAATTCGCGCGAATCGCGCGACGGATTACAGAAATCAGAAGTGCTTCGATCAATACTGCAAGATGCTTTCCAATTCCGCCGCCGTTTCTGCTGGACGGCGTTGGTTGAATGCCGACTGTTCATGAGTGTACTGGTTCATGTTCAGTGCTTCAAATGTTCAAATGAGGGCACTTGCCATTTTTGCGATTCGCGCGACGGATCGCGGACTATGGCACCAGCCTTAGACAAGCTTGAGCAGCCGATTTGTTCAAATTGAATAGCAGAAGAAATCCAGGCGGAAAATGCAGGAGTGAGTGATGCTGGATAAATCGCAATATCAGGAAAACATTTACAATCTGAGTTGATTTATGTTTACTACCAATACATCCTCTTTATCGATATCAGGCTTACCACTTGAGCCACTGATAAAAACAATACGATTAATTAGGAAAAACGGCAGTGCGATGGAGTTTTTCTTAAGGGGCGACAGACGTGAGTCTTTCCCCTGTGTCTTTATTTCGTCAATCCCAACTCACTGATGAGCTCCGGGGATTGGCGAAATAATAAGGTTCGTCTGAGGAAGGAGCGAAACGAACCGTATCAATTATTTTGTTTATAATGGTTTTTCTTTCTTAATTGGACAGCATCGATACGGTAGGTTCAAGATGCCAAACGATTCCAATATTCTCAACGACATAGAAGTGATGACGACTATTTTCACTGGGCCACAAAAAACCCCAACAACTAATCCCCATTCTTTTAGAACTTTTGAAATCTAAGGCGTATTTATTTGCTTTTTTGAACAGGTTTTTTAAGTGAAAGATTACGACGTTAAGAAGTTGTCGTCTTTTGTCCCGCTCGTATTTATTTTTCGGACGCAACACAAGATACGTCTGGCGCCTTGGCCAACATCAGACCAGTATTTGAAGTATTCCGCAAATAAATTTAAAACACAAAATCTATTAGAACCAGTAACGCGTCATGACGCAACCCTTTATCTCCCCCTTTCTAGCCTTCGGCGATTTCAAGGAGAAACTCCGAAGAAAAAATATTAATCAAGATTTTCGTGATATTCACCAATCTATTCGATTATGCAACATCATAGCTATAACGAGCTGCAGCGAAAAACAATAGCTAAAGCAAGACAAATTACCTCCTTATTTCTGTAGAAGCATAGATCACGAACATCGAGGGTTTCACCAAATTCCACATGATCGGCTAGCTTGAATTCGTTTCCAGACGGTAACACTCCGACACGTTCAATGCGAATGATCAACGATTGAGGTAACTAAATGAGGCGTATAAGATGGCTGTTGAAGCGGAGAGAGCATAATTAAGCAGTCATAAATTTCACAAGAATACTGGGTTGTGAACAAAACTTACGCCTCCAGATGGGACTCGAACCCACACCTTTTGAGGCTTGAGGCGATAGAGATGTGGATTCGAGTCCCGTATGGACCGGAAAGTTTTTTTGATAACCCAGTACCCTTGCGAAACTTTCGCAAGGCGAACTGCGACCAAAGCAGCAGTAAAATGTTGTGTAAATGTAAATGTTTTTAAAACTTCCGGAAATTCAGTTCTTGAAAAAATTGATATTACTGGAAGTTATCTGACGAAGTTATTACGAATCGATAAATGATCGCAATCAGTGAGACAATATAAATCCCGTGCCCGTGTACAGAACAATAATCGAGATGTCTGCTGTCCAAAGCTGCCAACCGAACACACCAACCGTGGCCCAATGTGAATCATCAATGTTACGTAACGGGATCGTGTCACAATCAGCTGTATGCTATGCTGACCTAGCAGTATTATAATTTCAGTTCCCATGGCTGCGCTAAACGTCCAGCCAAGATTTACAGCATTTAGGTGCTCGTAAGAAACCCTACAAAAACCTGACCAGAAATAAGCTTGTATGCCGGTTGTGCTATAAATAGCATGATTGCTATGCGTGACAGGATGGCTTTTCCAAAGGTAAACACGAACAAAGCCGACGCTCTTGCGCAATCTCTCCTGATTCTACGTGATGGATAACAAACAATCAAGTAGGCCCTATTGACCGGTCCCTCTTGGAAATGCCATGCACTCAAAATACATTCAGATTCGTAAGAACAATTGAATGCGTATCAGATGAGATGGTGACATGGAGAGCACCTTTTGACTCCACAGGCTTTCTCCTACATCGCGCTGCTCGCTTGTGAACACTTTCTCGAGATTCTCCTACTGGACAAGCTCATTATCTACTGAACCGATGGAAGAGCTAAATGGTAGGGTTGGGACTCGGTCCACATGTCGTGAGACGGTAACAGCGCAAAATTAATAAATAATCCTGCGTGATCACTAATTGCACTGATCGAAGTTCCGTTCATGGAAATTGAGTTTTCGAAAAGAAAGAAACTTCCGAAAGCACACAAGCCACCTAGGAGGGGGGGGGGGCAGGGGGTTCATGGAAAGAAGTTTGTGGTGGGGCAGCCATGTACTAGGTGATGCGCAGTAGAAGAACTCCAAATTTAAGCCTCCGAATTCGGATCATGGAGACAAAATGTTTTGGCGCGATAGGAATGTCATAGGAGAGCGGAACGTTTGTCCCCGGTTGAGGAACCCAAAAGGTTTTCTGTGTAGGCAGCCCAAGAAACAAAAGAAAGCTAGCCCATCGCCAAATTTTGCGGCAGTTCTATGCGCGAATCGATTTTCGGATGTCAAAAGGGCGGACGTGGTGTAGTGGCAAGTGGCACGCTTGCCACGCGAACGGTACGGGGATCAAATCAAATCCTGGGTCGTGAGCCGCCCGGGGC